CCCCTCTGATGCTTCCCCCCTGCTCCGCTCCAGTATGTCCGAGGAGTGCTTCTCTCATCTGCCATCACGGCTGCACGACGATGCAATTATCCTTCCCCTCGGCACCCTCGCCTGCGTCTCCCTCCCTTCCCGCGTCCGCCCCTCAGTCCGCCCATCCTTTCCCCCCCCCTCTTCCCTCTGCAAGTCCCCTTCGCTCCCTTCCCTCTCCGCCCCCCCCACCCCTGACCCTCCAGAGTGCTAACAAATAGCCCTCCAGACCTATAGACCTGTCTGGGCTGCCTACAAAGACCCGACAGGAATTTAGACATCGAGGCGGGCGAGGAGGAGTCATCGAGGATCGAGGATCGAGGATCGAGGAGGAGAGCTCGAGGAGCAGGGATCGAGGATCGAGGATGGAGGAGGAAGAGGTTGTGGAGGAGGAGGCCTCGACGATCGAGGAACCCGCCCCGCCCTGCCAGGAGCAGCGCCTGAAGTTCTCCCTGGCGCTGCCCGCCGGCGCCCTCCCGGCACCTCCCGGCACGCCTCGCCGCCGGCAGGCCGATGGCCGCCCTTTCGGAGGGGGGGGGCGGCGGCGCAAGGACGGGGCCCCGGAGGCAAGCGTTAAGTCGGGCCTGTCCCCCTACAGGGGAGTTTCGACGAAAGATTATCAATACACCAAAAATGATGAAAGATAGTCCAAGAATAGTCTGTGGACTTTTTTTGAGTATGTGTTGACCTTTTTGGTGTATTTTGGGGGTATTTGTTTTCCGTCGAAAATCCCCCCTGTAGGGGGACACGCCCGACATAACCATAGGCCCACCAGAGAATGTTCTAAGAACCCTTCGTGATCTGCGCGAGGTTTTCTCAGAACATTTCTGGCCGAGGCTGCTGTTCTGTTTTCGCTTCTCGGGCGTCCTGCTTTCACACACATCGGGTGTTTGCGGACCGCTGTGTTTGTGGTCCTGGGAGCATTTTTGGCTTCTGAGAACATCTCGCGGTAGGCCTATATGAATGCCGGGGCGGTCGGTCCCTGCTCAATGGAGGGGCGCGGGGGGCCCTCCGGGCGCGGGGGGGGGTCCAAGCAGTGCGGGCACAGTGGCTGTTCTCGGTGCGTCGGAGGAGGAAGAGGTACCGACATTGCTACCCCTCGCCCGTTTTCGTGAGCCTTGAGACGGGGGACAATGCAAACGGGGGTCAGCCAGGGCACCGGATCTTTCGGATCATGCGAAGATCCCCTCTGGCTGACCCGGGTTTGCGAGCCGCTCGTGGCCGCGAGGTGGCCTTGCCTATTGGCTGACCCGGGTTTGCGAAGACCTGCGTTGCAGCTTTTTTTCCTGCGTTGCAGTTTTTTGGTTTCCTGCTGACCTGGGTCTGGATTGACCCGGGTCAGAAGATCCCCGACGTTTTGCCACCCTCCTCGGGCCTCCTGGGAGGCCCTCGTCGCCACCGCTGCATTCGCGTCGAAGTCCTGGTCAGAACGCGCCCCGGGAGTGGTCCGGGGAGTCGCGGCGTGTATTGGTACCGTTTGGCTTCCCCAGCGTGGAGTCTGTCTCCTTCGAAGAAGAGAAGATGGCGAGGTAAGGACCGCTTTGGGCTCAGGAGCGGCTCGGTTCCTAAAGTTTCTGTCGTGAAACCTGTTCGTGGCCTAGGCTCGTTGGTCATCCAAGCCCTGTTGTTCCTTATTACCCCTTCCTTCACGTAGCACGAGGACTTGCAGATTTTCGGAGATCCGCGCGGGCTTCTTGCTTCGGTGCTGGACACCCCTGGCCGCGCCTCTGGCGCCGTCCCTGGCGCGCCTCGCGCGCCAGTGAGGGGGGGGGCCAGCGCCGATCCAAGAAATCCTCTCGCAGCTTCGAAAGTGTATGTTTTTTTGTTTGTGCTTCTACTCCTATCCTGAGGGCCCCATCTCTCTGTGCCCAATCCTCTGAATCGCCGGGGGTTGGGGGGGACGCGAGCCCCAAGAAGGAACCGGCGGATGGCACAACGCTCTTCGACCAGCTGCACGAGGTGGGCGTTTTGTCTGCACTCCGCGAGGTTTTTTTTGCGGTCTTCGGCCTCGGGGTGCCCTCGCGAGGCCCCAGAAAAAGGGGTCCAGCGAGGGCGGCCAGCGCTGGTGCCCAAGAAGCTGCTCGGGATGAAGAGAGAGTCCCCTGGAAGGGGTCCAGACCACTGGGAAGCCAAGTTGCGAGAAAGGGACGGCGTCGGAGATCCAGGGAGGTGGACGTTTTCTGACGTTCTCGCTGGTGCCCGGAGTTTCTGTGCCTGCCTCGGATGTGCCCTCTCCAGCAGACGGGGCCTCGCAGGGAGCGTTCTGGAGGGGGGGGGTGCTCGAGCCGTCCAAGATGGCCGCCGCCTCGCCGAAGACCCGTGCCATGGCCCGAACGCCGAGCGACCCTTCGCCCGAGTGACCTTTCGTGTGCGGCCTTCTGGACCGCGCGGGGGGGGTGGGGGGCACGCCCAAAAATAGGTAAAACACATAGTCTGGGGACGATTTTTAGGGGAATTCTTGAATTGTTGTTGAGCCTGTTTCGAGTATGTTCTACTGTTCGTCCAAGATCCCCCCTGGAGGACATGCCCGACCTGAGGCAAAAGCCCAAGCACGTACGCCGATGCGGTCGCCGCGCGAGCAGCGATCGGCAGGCCGCGCCGGCTGCACGGCCACGTCTTGCCCAGCCGCGTTGTTTCCGTGCGTGCAGCCGACTCGAGGATGGCGGCTGTGATGCCAGCGCTTATGGGGACGAGAATGACAATGAGGAGGAGGAGGCGGAGGAGGAGCAGGAGGAGGAGGAGGAGGAGGAGGAGGAGGGGAGGAGGAGGAGGAGGAGGAGGGAGGAGGATGAGGGGATGGGAGGAGGATGAGGAGGAGGAGGAGAGGAGGAGAGGAGGAGGGAGGAGGGGGAGGAGGAGATTGTTGGGAACGAGGCTCACGATAATGTGGATGCTGCTGCCGATGGTGTGGTGCTGATGCCGAGTGTGATTGTGATGGCGACGGGTGGCAGGGACGGCGATGGTGTTGATCATGATGGTAATGCCCGTCATGGGAGGGGGGCATGGCCACGCAGAGAGAAGGCAGATCGCCGACACCCGAAAGCAGATCTCGATGACCCGTCGTCGACCATCATCCAGAGATCCAGCGTTCCTCCCCGCAGGCGGCCTCGTGGGAGAAGGAGGAGGAGGAGGAGAAGGGAGGAGGAGGAGGAGGAGGGAGGAGAAGGAGAGGAGGAGGCGGAGGAGGGAGGCGGAAGAGGGGAGGAGAAGGAGGGGTAGGAGGAGGAGGAGGAGGAGGAGGAGGAGGAGGAGGAGGAGGAGGAGGAGGAGGACGAGGGGGGGGAGGAGGAGGAGGGAGGAGGAGGGGACGGAGGAGAAGGCGAGGAGGAGGAGGAGGAGGAGGAGGAGGAGGAGGAGGAGGAGGAGGAGGAGGAGGAGGAGGAGGATGTGGAGGAGGAGCAGGACAGGAGGAGGTCCATCTCCCGGGAGCGCCCGCAGGCGGCGGCCTCGCGGGCGCGGCCCCCGGCCGCGGCGGCATGCGCGCGGCACCCCGCGCGCCACCCCGCGCGGCCCGTGCGCCGCGGGGGCGCTGCGCTCGCGTTCTTGTGAGCGGGGGGCAAAAAGTCAGAGGAGGAGCACTCTCGGGCCGGACGAAAGGGGGGGATTGGGGAAGGGGGGGTTACGACATCTGCTGCCTGCAGCTGGTTTCGGCCCCGCCGCCGGGCCCATTCCTCGATGCATGGGCGCCTCCCGGCGCCGGGAGGCGCCGGGAACATCGGCGACGTGAGCTGAGTATCAAACCCCCCCTTTTGCAATCCCCCCTTTTTGCCCGAACCGAGAGGAGCACTCGGGGGCGAGCACGCAGACCCCCCCTGGCGTGGTGAAAAGAATACGACGGGAGCGTTTTCGCCATTTTCGGCCTCCGGGAGCCCTCTCTGTGCCTCGGGAGACGCGTCACGCAGGAAAGACTCGGGATGAGAGACCGGTCCCGGGGAAGGGGTCCAGACCTCCGGGGGTCGACGTTGTGCAAAAAGGTCACGACGTCGGGGATTTGGACACAAGGATCGGCGTCGAGCGAGCGGGGAAGTGAGAAGGAGAAGCCCTTCTCTGAAGGCGGCGGGGTTTCCCACACGCCCTCGCGCCTTCTAAGATTCTGCGTCTCGGGGTGAGGCTTAGATAACTTCTCCGAAGGCCGGGGACTCCCGAGCCTCTTGCGAAGGCCCGCCCCTTCTCATTTCCCCCCATAATCACCGCCGAATAACCAACGTTGGAAAATGTACTGATTCCGCTGCCCCTCAAGGCTCATATCGATTCCTCGTTTCCTCCAGTTCGATTCCAATCGATTTTGATGGTTTTCCCGATTTCGATGGTTCGCTTCCTTGAAAGAATCAGAGGAGGAAAGGGTACCCCACCTTTCGTAATGCAAGGGAGGGGGTCACAACCCTCCCACAGGGGCAGTTTGAGACACCCCCCAGACTGGCCATGAACAGGCGGCTCTATGCCCAGACCCCATCTTTTCTATTATGGAATCCGGGGTGCCGATTCCGCTGCCCTTCAGGGCTCACTTCGATTCCTCCGAGCCGAATCAGTTCGATGTCCATGGCTTCCGACTCCTGTTCCATCCGACTTCGGATTCCGATGTGGAATCCGATGTTTTGCATTGGAGGCCTTACCAGCCTGCCGATTTCCGCCGATTCGACTCCTCCTGAGATGGCTGCCGATTTCTGCCGATCCAATTCATTTCGATCGCCGATCCGACTTATCGATTCGATTCCCCTTGCTTCGTTTCTTCTTTCTTGGGCCTCCTGGGTGGCCCTTGTCGCTACCGCTGGAATCACCGTGGAACTCTGGTCAGAACGCACCCCTGGTCACAGAGATTCTCGACTCCTCCTCGCCCACATGTGTTCTCATCCTGGCTCCGCCTCCTCCTCCTCCTCCTCCTCCTCCTCCTCCTCCTCCTCCTCCTCCTCCTCCTCCTCCTCCGCCCCCCCTCCTCCCCCTCCTCCCCCCCTCCTCCCCCTCCTCCGCCCCAGGAGCCCAGCAGCAGCAGCAGCGAGGCCGACTCCCAGGACAGCGACGACCCGCCGCCCCGCCTCGGCAGCCAGGTGGGGGGGGGGGGGCGCCGGAGCCAGCCGCTGCCGCCGGGCGGTCTCGGTCGCCCCGCCCGCCCGCCTCCAGAAGGGGGGGGCAGGGGGGGCCGCCGCCTCCTCGTCCTTTTCCTCCTTTTCCTCGTTGTCCTCCTCCTCCTCCTCCTCCTCCTCCTCCTCCTCCTCCTCCTCCTCCTCCTCCTCCTCCTCCTCCTCCTCCTCCTCCTCCTCTCTCCTCCCTCTCCCTCTCCTCTCTCCTCCTCTCTCCTCTCTCCGTCTCCATCTCCTCCTCCTCCTCCTCCTCCTCCTCCTCCTCCTCACGCACTGCAGCGCGCGCCCGCGCCCGCAGCCGCGCGCTGTGGGCGCGCCCAGAGATGTACCGAGCATGCGCATCAGGACCTCTATCTCACCCTCTGCCTCAGTTGGTCCGCTGAGGCAGGAGGTGGGAGCCTCAGGAAACAGCCTCTGGACCCGAGAACCCCCGCCAAGGAAGAGGAAAGAAGCTTCAAAATGCCTCAGAGAGCCTCGAAGGAGGGGCGAGGCGGAGCTACAGGCCTTTTGTCTTGCGTTTGAGCATTCCACGGCCCGATGTTCTATGCGAAGGACTGCGAGAGTTTGATTTCGGATTGGCACGCTGGTCGTGACCGCTCTCCTAGGGGCTTGAACGGGGACCGTTGGGTCCGTGTTGCTCGTGCTTTGCCTAGCCGTGGCCTCGGGGGGTTCTTTATTTTGAACGCCCTCCTGCTTGGAGGATCAGTTGCAGTCCGTTACGTCGCCATTCGAATTATTTATGTGCCCGGGCAACGCTGGCGCCGACGCGTTTGCGGGGGTTGCGGCCCAGCGTGCTTGGGAGTGGCGCGTCGCGCCCCCCGCCCCCTTTCGCGCCGACTTGCGGGATGCGACGGCGGCGCTGGCGAGAAAAATGACCAGAAGGGCTTTGCTGCAAGCGCTCGAAGTTGGACCTTGGGAAGGAGTCAGAGCTCAACCGCAGCCTAAGGTCCGCGTGCCCAAGCAATTCGACTTGGCGATCAGCACTAGTTCCCATCGGCTTCTCCCGTTTGCTGGCCGCTGGCGCTGCGCGATTTGCAAGATCGCCCCGAGAAGCCAAGTGCTCACTGTCGTCACGACCCCGTGCCGTGGCCCGAACCTTCCGCCGCCGTCGGATTCGGATGGCGCGCTGGGGCTGCTGCTTGGGTTTGGAGAGAAAGAGGTTCGATGCGATCTCGGGAGAGGGGTGGATTGGCTCAGTGAAACTGCACTCCAGCTACCGCCTAGCTAGGATGAAGGCTTTCGTGCTGACCTTTTGCCAAAGGTGCGGTTTCACCGCCGCGACCGATGGCCGATGGCTTGCGCGCGCGCGCCCCCCCCCGCGCGCAAGGGGGGGGGGAACTTTAAGATCCTCAAGATAGTTGAGAAGGGCCTGTTTCCGTCGCATCGGGCCCACCTGTAGCATTGAGAGCGGCAGCCGTTCAGGGCGTTACTGTTAGGGCCCGTCCGGCCACGTCCTCGGAGAGGATCTGTTGGGGAGAGTGGAGCCACTCGGTCAACGGAGGAGGGCCGTGCGGTTCTTGCCGAGTATCTCTCCCGCTCTCCCGATCGGCCCGTCGGAGAGCGGGCTGGCGTGATGGCGTTGTTCGAGGACGCCCCGCGCGTGGGTGAGGACGCGGCTGCCTCTCTTGCCCCCGCCGCCGCCACGCTGAGTGTGCCTGTGGAGGTTGCTGGCGGTAGCAGTGATTGAGACGGAGTGGCCACGTGCGTGGCATGGCAGCATGATCCAGCCCGGCACTCCTCATCCTCCTCCTGCTCCTCCTCCCCCTCTTCCTCCTCCTGCTCCTGCTCCTCCTCTCCTCTTCCTCTCCTCATCCGCGTCCTCCTCATCCTCCCTCTCCTCCCCCCTTCCTGCTGCTGCTGCTGCTGCTCCTCCTCCTCCTCCTCCGCTTCCTCCTCCTCCTCTTCCTTCTCCTCCTCCTCCTCCTTCTCCTCCTCCTCCTCCTACTCCTACTCCTACTCCTACTCCTACTCCTACTCCTACTCATCCTCCTCCTAGTCTTCCTCCTGCGTGCCTCTACCGGGCGGGGCGGCCGCCAGGCCATTCCCATCACACCAACCGTTGTTCGCAACCTCCCCCCACATACAAGATCCTCCTCTACCCTTCGGGGGTGGACAGACCTCCTACCCTCACACGTCGATTAAGGAATTGGCCGTTTTCTGCTCGCGGGAGGGCGTCGCGGCCGTCATTTTTAAGGGGAAGTCTACTAAAGGGAGGTTTGTCCAGCGCCGAACCCTGCATCTTCGGACCCTCAGTGGTTGGGTGCGCCCCCGCACTGCCGAAGGGCTGTGGCAGCAATGACGGTGCCGAGGAGTTCACGCGGCCTTGGCAGGAGGTATCAAGGTGCATTTCCGCACTGGAGCCGCAGTGCCTCGGCCACGGTGCCTGGGCCATCACGACTCGTTGGCACAACCCATGCGGTATGGACCCAGATGGCCCCAGGCCATGCCCCACATCGGGCCACCGTGCCCTTCAGGGTGGTGCTCCTGGAAACTGGACCCACCAACCGGGTTCAGGCGCCCCTGAGCCATCAACATCAAGTTCCTCCTCCTCCTCCTGTTCCCCGTCGTCCTCCTCCGCCGCCGCCGCCTCCTCCTCCTCCTCCTCCTCCTCCTCCTCCTTTTGTTCTCTTAGACATGCTGCCGGGGCCGAAGACCAGTAGCATCAGCACACGCAGGCGGCCCTCCCGCGCGATCAAGCCAGCAGAGCGACCCCGACGAGGCCCAGGCCCAATGAGACCATGTGTACCAAGTCGACGGCGCATCACGTGGGGTCGAGGCTCCAGGGCCAACGGCTTCGACCTGATCGCTCTCCTCCTCGTCCTCCTCCTCCTCCTCCTCCTCCTCCTCCTCCTCCTCCTCCTCCTCCTCCTCCCCCTCTTCGTCCTCCTACTCGGCCTCCTCCTCCTCATCCCCCTCCTCCTCCTCCCTCCTCCCTCCTCCTCCTCCTCCTCCTCCTCCTCCTCCTCCCTCCTCCTCCTCCCCCTCCCTCCCTCATCCCCTCCTCCTCCTCCTTCTCCTCCTCCTCCTCCTCCTCCTCCTCCTCCTCCTCTCCCTCCTCTTCGCCCTCCCCCCCCCTCCTCCCTTCCTCCCCCCTCCTCCTCCTCCTCCTCCTCCTCCTCCTCCTCCTCCTCCTCCTCCTTCCCCTCCTCCTCCTGATTATCCTCTTCCTCCTCTTCCTCTTCTTCCTCCTTCTCCTCCTCCTCCTCCTACTCCTACTCATCTTACTCCTCCTGCGTGCCTCTGCCGGGCGGGGCGGCCGCCTTCAGCTGGCGCAGTCCCCGCAGGCCATCTCCGGGATGACGGTCAACAGGCTGCGGTCGCTGGACGCGTGGCGAGCTCGGCTCTCGCGCTCGCCGCTGTGAAGGGCGGGGGGTGGCTAGCAAATCATTCGGCACGAACGAGATCGGTACGGAAAGAATGGGCACAATGCCCAACAGCAGTTCCTGTTCATTTTGAACAGGACTCGCTGTCCGCGCCGCCGCGGCCTGTGTCTATTTGAGACAGAAGGCCGCCTGCCCAACAGCGGCCGCTGGTTTGGGACAACATTTGTTGTTGGGCATTGTACCCATTTTTGTCCGTGCCCATTTCAGGCGTACGTAATCATGGAGCCTTGTGCACCTTCGCAATTCTGTCTTGAAGCGTGCACTGGCGTTGGCCAGCGTTTGGTAGTTGATGAGCTATAGTGCTGGTTTAGCGTCGATTCGCGTCGAGGATCGTCGATCTAGCGTCGATTAGCGTCGATCTAGCGTCGATTAGCATCGATCTAGCGTCGATTTGCAAGAGCCAGCAAGATGGTAACTATTGGAGGCTCCCATGAGTTGCTGCGGACGGGGGTGGATCCCAGACCCCATCGGGTCATGAAAAAAACACGAGGGGGGGGAACGCTATTTTCTGCCTCGGGGGGCCCTCGCCGGGCCCCAGGACAGTCGATGAACGACGCAGGATGAAGCGTCGGTCCCAGGGAACGGGTCCAGACCCTTTGGGGGTCGACGTGATAAAAAAGTGATGACGTCGGGGATCCGGGATTAGAGAGTGTGTATGGTCCGGCGATGCTCCAGATTATCGGGCCCGCGCCCCCCCCCCCCCCCCGGATGACTTGACTTTGTCAGTTTCACAGATCCGACGGGGGGGGGAATGCGCGGGGTTGCCCAAAGCGAAAAAGTTAGGTTCTCGGCCGGCACCTCCCCCCCCTCCCACCGGATAGCCCGGGCTATCGCCGAAAAAAAACAATTTTATCTCTTCATGTCTAGGCCTCCCAGATGGGGTCCGAGTAGATGGGGTCGGATGGCCGCGCCGCATCGCCGATGCATCGCCGATGCATCGGCGATGCATCCCCGCTGTATCGCTGGAGGGCGTCATGTGGCTGGCGCGGCCCGCCGGCTTTGCTCTGGCGCTCCTGCGACCGCAGGCGATCGCCAATGTCAGCGTGCGTCGGTAGCTGTACCACGACGGCTGGTCCTCGAGCTCTTTGAGGCTCCTGCGCCCCAGCACAGAGCCTCCAGAGATGGAACGCATGTTGAGCTCTCCGCGTGGCGTGCGTTCGATGTTCCTGTACGCCGTTCAGTTGCCCGTACGGACGTGAACGTGTGCTGCTCTGTGGGTCTTCGGTTGCACCCAGAGGCATGGGATATGCACCCGTGTCCCGAGGATCTCTTCTGCTTTCGTACGTGTTTGATCAGTCATGGCTTCGGCTGCTCTCGGATCCTTGGCTGGCTTTCATCAGCTGCGTCTCCTTGCGGGCGTGTCGGGGATGTCGGCATTGTTCCGAGCGACCGCCCGAGGCCCGAGATCTGGTGCATGGCCGAAGACCCGGAAGCCGCTGAGGGGCATCAGCCGGCCACCTCCGAGCCCCCAGTCAAGCAGTGGCGAAGCGTCTTGGCTCGCCTATAGCCCTACCAAACAATGTTGTAATAACCTTTTGTGGTTTCACGAAATGTTCTTAGAACATTTCTGGCTGAGTCTGTTTTGTTTCAACACATCGGATTATGTTCTAAGAACATTGTTTTCGGTCCCTGCCCAAGTTTGGGGAGCCGCGTGGAGCCGACTCCCCATCTCGGCGGCAAGCCCAGGGGGGAAGGCAGGGGGAGGGGTCGGAAGGCCCCCGGCCTTCGGAGAAGTCTCCGGAGCCTCTCCCGAAGACAGAGGCGGCTGCTCAGGATGCCGGAGGGCTTCTCAGAAGCCCCGCTGCCTTCTGAGAAGGCCTGCCCCATCTCACTTTCCTCAGGTGTTCTCAGGGGTGGGAAGGGGTGGGTCTTCTCAGAAAACTCGGGATGCCCTCGGAGAAGTTCTCGGAGCCTTCCCCGAAGACGTAGAAAACCTGTCAGAAGGCCGGCGGGCTTCGGCCCGCCCTCTCTCACTTCCATGGACCCCTTTGTTAGCTGCAAGCGTCCAGCTGTCACGCCGAGCCCTTCGAAGTCCACGGGAGCCCGCCGAAGACCGCCGAAACTCGCCAGAAGACCCCAGGTAGACCGCCCGAAGACCGCCGGGAGACCGGTGGAGACCGCCAGCCTGCAGGCGGCCTTGCGTGCCATCCACGACGAGCTGGCGGTCGCCCGCCTGGAGCAGCTGGACGCGCCCGCGCTGCAGGATATCGCCGCCGGCGCGCCTCTTGGAGCTGCGCGCCCTCTCCGTGTCGCCTGAGCGGTTCGTTGCGAGTCTCGTGCGCACCTGGTCCCGTGGTGCCCGGAAGCGACTTCCGGGTGGCTGTGCGGCTCCAGGTGGGCGCCGTCTGTACCTGCCCCACCGCGCTCTGTGCTCGGTGCGGCGCCGCGCTGGGGGCAACTGGTTCCCAAGGCGTTTTGCTGTGCCCTGCCAGAAGTCACCCGCGGGCGTTGAACGACGTCCGGGACGAGCTGCTCAGGCTGGGGCACTTGGCAGACTTCACCGTCGCATCCGAAGCTCTCGGGCTCATTCCCTCTGCCCCGACGCTCCGCCCCGCGGACATCCTGACCTCGGCGGCCCTCCCGGGCCGCTTGGCGGCGTTGGACATATGGATCACGAACCCCGACGCAACTGGCGCGGGGGCGGAATGCTGCGACGCGATGCACCGCAAAAAGCAGGGGGTCAACCAGGAGTGCGAGGCTGAGCTGCGGGCGCAGGACATCACTTAGCGGCCCATGGTCTGGTCGGCGTGGGGCCGCGAGCGCCCGAAGACCAGCGTGATGCTCTCCGCGATGGCGGCGCAGGCGGCCCGGCGCCGCGGGCTGCGGGGCCACCAGCTGCTCTTCTGGAGGGTCCGGAACGCCTTCGGCGTCCAGCTGGCGCGACGGGCCGCTCGGATGTTGCATTCCTGCGTGCCGCGCTTTAAGGAGCTGGAGAGGTAGGAGGAGGAGGAGGAGGAGGAGGAGGAGGAGGAGGAGGAGGAGGAGGAGGATGCAGCGCTTTTCGGCCGCCGCGACGACGCCGGCTCCTGGCGCGAGTCGCGGGCGATCCGGTTCCGCGCTGGCGACGCAAACGCAGGGCCGGGCGGGGAGAAGGCGCCGGAGGCCTGCAGGGCGGGCAGGACGCGGGCCGACGCGGAGCTGGGCGGGCAGGACGGCCGGGGCCCCGCGCTGACCGAGCCAGGCAGCGTGGAGCCGACTGAGCTCCGGTGCACCAAGCGGCCGCCGGGCAACGCGGAGGACGGCCTGGGCGTGGCAGAGGAGGCTTGTCTGGCGCCGGCGGCGCCCGGCCGCCCGCCAAAGCCGGCAGGGGAGGGCGGCGCCGCGCGCGCATTGCAGTCAGCGCCGGCGCAGGGTCGATTGGCCGCCTTGCGCCTGGCGCGCGGCGCGGGCCCGCGGCCGAACGTCTGAAGAGGGGTGGCACGAGGGAGAAACAAAAAAATGGCGTAGGTCTATGGTCGAATACGCAGTTTTCCCCTGTGTTTTCGCCGCCGACCTCCCCCCTTGACCTTCCGGGGTGATGCAAAATGGCCATCCAGACCTGTGGACCCATCTGGGTTGCTGGAAAACCAGCAGGAATGATGTTGAATATGGTGATGTTGATTACGTTGATGATGTTGATGTTGACGTTGGTGATGATGCCGGCGATGCTGATGATGACGGTGATGATGACGATGACGATAACGATTGTGATGATGATGTTGATGCTGAGGATGTTAGTGATGATGATGATGATGATGATGGTGGTGATGATGATGAGGTTTTTGTAATATTTGTTTGCCCTCCTGGAAGCTCAGGGCCCCCTCCCTCCGACGGGTCCAAGTCCGGGTGGGGACCCTAGTAAAGCCTTCTGTGGTGCTCGCGACTCGCGGCGCGGCCTTGGATGTGGCCCGGGTCAGCGTAGAGGGACCAAAAAAATCACGCGCGCAGTGCAGACGCCATTCATCGTCAACCCCCTGGAAAATATGGGAGAATATGGGACATGGGGGGAACGAAAACCCATAACATATGGGAAAGTATGGGAAGTGGGGGGAGGACGAAGACCCGGAACACAACGGAATATGAGGAGAGTCGTGGCATGTGTGTCCATGTGTTTGCGTGGCCCTGGGCCCCCTTTTTATGTCAGCGCTGACCCAGGGCGCGTGCCCCGAGGGGGCGTGCTAGTCAGGCTTCTTGAACCGCTATTTTGGCCCAGCTGAGGCTCCCTCCCCTCGCGGTTTGGGCACCCTTTTTTTGGGCAAGGCGGGAGGGCGAGGCGAGCGCGAGGGAGGGGAGAACAGGACCCTGGCCTTGTATCAGGGCTACACCATAGCACCGAACCCTCGACATCTATATTCGCGTCATCTATATGCGCGTCGGGGTTGTGGGCGGCTCAGATAGGCTGGAAGGTGAAGGTCTGGAGGGTTCTTTGTTATCACGCTGGAAGGTCATGGGAGGAAGGAGCCGGAGGATGTGGTCGGCAGCTGCTCGCGTTCGTGCTCATTTTGCACGGGATTCGCTGCCAGCGTGCATGTTCAGTTTCGTGGCGTCGTCTGCCCAAGAGGCAGTCGATCATAGCCCCGAGTCATCAGGGTTGGGGGGGGTCAGGTATAGCTACAGATTCGCGCCAGAGTTACCCCTCACCGCAGTTATCTCGGATAAGTTGGGCGTCCAACCCCTCCGAATAATCATATCTGGGGGCACTCAGGGGTCATTGCAGATTCGCGCCTCGGGGACCCAAACCGGAGCTACCCCGGACAGCAGTTATCCTAGATAGTTCGGGCGTCCAAGTGGAGCAGTCGCCGTCGCGCCCTCGCAGGCCCCGCCTCCTACCTGTCGGTCCATCCTCCAGTGAAGCTCGGACGGCCACGGGCCTTGTCTCTCTCGCCCGAAGGGCTGCGCCGAATCCGTGCGACCCGCACCATGGCAGCTGCGTGGACTCTGGGCGAGGATCCTGTCTCTTGTCGGCGGCGGGCCCCAGGGGGAAGTGAGAAGGGGCGGGTCTCGGGGGTGGACAGACCTCCTACCCTGACGCGTCGATTAAGGAATTGGCCGTTTTCGGTTCGCGAGAGGGCGCCGCGGCCGTCATTTTTGCGGGTCCAGGTCCGTCGGTTTCGGTCCCAGACCGTTTTCACTAAGGGGAGGTGTACTAAAGGGAGGTTTGTCCACCGCCGAGGGTCTTCGCAGAAGGCTCGGGGGCATCCCGGCCTGCGGAGAAGCTCTCGGGGCCCTCCCCGAGGACACGGGAATAGCTTGTCAGACGGCCGGAGGGCTTCCGCCCTGCCCTCTCGCCGTTCCTCGGGTGCTCGAACATGGACCCCCTCGGGCCGAAGGCCTCGGGAAACCGCCGAGGACCGCGGGAAGTCGCGCCGAAGAGGCTCCCGAGGCCCGCCGCCGAGCAGGGCCGCCTCTCGAACTCGCGGCACCGCTCCCGGTGCCGCGCCCGCCCTCAGAGACGTGTGCATGGGCTCGCCCCCAGGGGGGGCGTGCGCTGACCCGCAGCTTCGAGGTGAGAGCGCGGCCGTCCAGAGAGGAACACCGCGATGCTCGTTCTCGTCCTCCTCCTGCTTACCCCCCCTCCTCCCCCTCCTCCTCCCCCGCCTCCCCTTTCCAATCTGCCTTATCATCATTATTATTATCAACATCATCATCATCATCATCATCATCATCAACAACAAAATGAACGTCAACATCAACATCATCATCACCACGATCAACAGCATCATCATCAGCAGCAGCATCATCAGCATCAGTATCATCTTCATCATCAGTATAGTTATCGTCATCGTTATACTCGTCGTCATTGGCATTGTTATCGTTTACAGTATCGGTATAATATTCCTCAGCAGCTTCATCATCATCACCATCACTACTACCAGCATCAGATCGTGGTCACCATCATATTCATCATCATCAACATCATCATAAGCACCATTTGCATGATCGCCTGCAGCAGCATCATCATAATAATAATCCTCATCATCGTCATCATCAGCATCATCATCATCAGCATCATCACTATCATCCTCATCCTCACCCTCACCATCACCATCTCCATCACCACGACCACCATCATCATCAACATTATCATCATGTTCCTCCTTCTCATCCTCACCATCACCATAATAGTCGTGTACATCACCATCTCCATCACCATCTCCACATCATCAACAGCAGTATCATCATTTTCCTCCTCTTCATCCTCACCATCACCATACAAGCCGTCTACATCTGCATCTTCATATTCATTATCACCATCACCAGCACCATCAGCAGCCTCATCAACGACATCAGCATCAGCATCATCATTATCATCATCGTCATGTTCATCAGCTTTAATCATCATCATCATCATCATCATCATCATCATCATCATCATCAGCATCAACATCAGCATCACCATCACCATCACCATCATCACCATCATCACCACCATCATCATCATCATCATCATCATCATCATCATCATCATCATCATCATCAGCATCATCATCATTCTCCTTCCTCCCGACTGCTTTCTCTCCTCCCTTCGCCTCCTGCCGCCTCCCCTTGTTCCCGCGCGGGCCCCACGAGCCGCACCACCCCGGACCCGCCGCGCCGAGGTGCCTGATGTCTCCGCGGCCGTCCCCGATGTGCACCATGAGCAGCATGGACCGCCCGCTCCCCGCTCCCTCCGGGGGCAGCGTCGAGGGGCCCCCCCGAGGGGGGCATGGGCTCGGGGGGGGGGAGGCATCGACCCACCGCCGCCAGCCCTCCCCGCCCGGGACCGTGCTCGGGGGCACATCGTCGATCCATCGACGATGCATCGCCGATTGGCGCTCGATGGCTCCTCCCTCCGCCGGTCTCCCCCAGAACGTTGCTCCTCATCCCAGGGCCCAGCCATGCGCTCCAAGACATCCCCGCGCCGTGCAACAGCACGCGGCGGAATGTGCGGTTTGCAATCTTCGGCCTCCCGGGGGCCCTTGCCAGGCCTCGGTGCAGCCAACAAAGCAGCTCGCAATGAAGAGCACGTGGAGATGGTTGCGTTTCGCGGAGGGCGAAGAATTCAACTACGTGGTTCTAACGAAGTTCTGAGTTTCCCATGTCCTCCATTACACCTGCCCAGTTCGTTGCTGACCAGTTTGTGCGCTTCCATGGATGGCTTTGCTGCGACCTCTTACGATCTCATTGGTGCGATAACCAGCCAACACGACGCAGTCATTAAGCTTGTAGTTTCTACGTGTTCCCATTGGCCCGTTCTGTGCTGACCGTACTGCGCGCGCACGGACGATTGACAATTTGCCGTCGTTGACAGTGAGTTGTTTCCTCCCTCTGGCCATGAAGAACGGGGGTTGTGAAAAAAGGGTTCCTGGGTTGTTTCGCGGTTTCCAGCAGCTGGGGGCCCTCCCAGGCCACAGGACTGACAAACAACGGTTCTAGAGGATCCACGACGCGTGTGCAGATGTTTCACCGTTCCCCTCCCTCCACCGCGTCGTCCTCCTCCTCCTCCTCCTCCTCCTCCTCCTCCTCCTCCTCCTCCTCCTCCTCCTCCCCCTCCCCCTCCCCCTCCCCCTCCCCCTCCGCTTCCTCCTCCTCCTCCACCTCCTCAAGGTGAAGAGGAGGACGAAGCGCAGGTTTGATCGGGAGGGGGGGAAGGGGAGAAACACAGGTGGACGAAGCGCAGGTTTGATGGGAAGGGGGGGAAAGGGGAGGAGGACGAGGAGGAGGAGGAGGAGGAGGAGGAGGGTGAAAAGGAGGACTACGCGCAGGTTTGATAGGGGAGGAGGGGGAGGAGGAGAGACACGGGTGGACAACGTCTTCCCTTCCGCTGCCCCCCCCAGCAGCAGCGGTTGCGTGACTCCCACACGGGTCTGCACGTGCCACTCGGCCCGACGCTATCTGGCCCAAGGGGGCGGTGCGGGGACGCGACATGCCACTGCTTGCTGCCCCTAGGAGATGACTCAACGTTCGTACGTGCCCGGCAGCCGCTTGCACAGCATCGCGGCGAAGTCGGGAAGACCAGTGCGGCCGACGCGCGCGCGGGCCCGGAGGAGCCAGCCTGGCGAGGGAAGCGGCTTCGATGGGGCATCCCCTGGCCCCCAGAGACAGTCCCCCGCGCCCGCTATACATCCTCCCGCTCGCTCTTCCTATCCATGCTTCTCCCCTTCATATCCTCCTTGCTGCCGGGGCTGGGGGCCAGATGGCGTGTGCCGCGTTGGTCGCGTACGCGTTGGCACGTCCTTCCTCCCGCTTCCATTTTCCGGACCGCCCCCTGGCTACCGCCCGCGTCCGCTCACGCGTTCGCGCATTCATGGGCCCGCCTCTCGGCTACCGTCCTACTCCTCGTCCTCCTCCACACTGCGCCCGTTTGTTTCCTAGGACCTAGGTGTATGGGTGCCGCTCGCCCTCTTACACCTTGTTGCGCTTCATCGGATAGTTTCTGCTGCTCCGCTCTGCGCCTCGTTGTCCTGCTCCATGAGGGGCCGCATCGCGCATCATCTCGCACCCCGCATCCCTCCCCCCTCCGCTTGCATCCCTCGTCCCGCATCTCTGCCCTCTCCCATCCCGCACCATCCTCCTCATCCTGCAGCCGCCCCCCCTCCTCTCGCGCGCACGGCAGCGCACGCTGGCGGGAACTGAACGGATGGGGGGGATGAGGAGGAGGAGGAGGAGGAGGAGGAGGAGGAGGAGGAGGAGGAAAAGGAGGAGGAGGAGGAGGAGGAGGAGGAGGAGGAGGAGGAGGAGGAGGAGGAGTGGGAAGAGGAGGAGGAGGAGGAGGAGGAGGAGGAGGAGGAGGAGGAGGAGGAGCAGGAGCAGGAGCAGGACGAGGAGGAGGAGGAGGAGGAGGAGGAGGAGGAGCAGGAGGGAGGAGGGAGGAGGAGGAGGAGGAGGAGGAGGAGGAGGAGGAGGAGGGGGGGAGGAGGCAGAGGCAGAGGAATCCTGGGAAGGAGGAGGAACAAGAACCGAGGGGACGCGGGCCGACCCTCCCCGCAAGCCCGCAGCGGCGGGCGCCGCCCGCGGGCCGCAGGGGGTGGGGCCCTGAGCACGAAGTCGACCACGTCGACTTCGCAGCCCTCGGCCAACACGCCGTCGGGCTCCACAAGTACGAGCTGCAACCCCGACTGGGGCCGCTAGGCCAGCACCCCCTCCAGGTGCGGAGCCATGAGCCGCAGCTGGTCGGGATCAGTTCGGTGGGCAGGCCCAGGCTCGCGACGTGCCCGAGCTGCACGATCTCGGAGGGCTTGCCGCCCTTTCTCGTGTCCTTGCCGCCCTTAGCCCTTGCCCGCGCCGTCCGCGAAGCGTCCACACGCCTGCACCCGCGGCAGCTCGTCCGCCCGCTCGTCGGAGTCCATCGGCTCGGCGTCGACGACACCCCCGCGCCCACCGCCGCCGCAGCCGCCCCACCACCCGGGGCCTTCACCGCCACGACATGCTGCATCTCGCCGAGCACGTCTGCCTCCATCCGACCACCGCGGCCGCGCGAGCGACAGCGCCGAGCTGGCGCCACCGGTGGGCCCACGTCGTCCGCGGCAGGGGGGATTGCTGCTCGACGAGCCCGGCGACCGCCGCGCGGAGACGCCCCCTCCGCCGCAAGCAGGAGTCACGCAACCCTCCTGCGGCGGTCAAGCCCGCAGCCGTGTGGACCGCAATCCCACGCGAGTCATGCAGTGGCGCCGCGGGGCGTGCCGCAACGCTCGCCCGCATCATCAACGCCCTTCGGTCCAGGATCGGGATCGAATCAGCACAGGGCAATTTACACAAAAAGGCTGGAAGAGCAGGAGGAGGAGGAGGAGGAAGAGGAAGAGGAGGACGGGGAGGCCAGGGAGAGGAGGAGGAGGAGGAGGAGGAGGAGGAGGAGGAGGAGGAGGAAGACGGTGAAACGTCCGCACACGCGTCGTGGATCTCCCCTCTAGGCGCACTTTCCCGAATGCCGAGGCCGTGCTGCGGTGCGGATCCTGAGCGCTCCTTATCTTTGGCGTCTCCGTTGCCTTTTCTCCTTGCCGCCGGTGCCGCCGTCGTGGTCGTTGTGCGTTCTGCTCTGTTCGGGACGTTGCTCTCCTCATGTGGTGGCCAGTGCCGGCCACTCCAAAGGCTCCCGTCAGACAGGCCTAGGATCGGGATACATCCATCCGGAGCGTTCCGGAACGCCTCTCGGGGCGTTCCGGAACGCTCTGAGAAGGCCGCGGCGCCCGATACATCCCCCAGAGCCGACGGATCCCAGAGATTCTCGATGTGTCTTGGTCCCTTTTTGTCCCGATCCTGGCTCCGCTTTTTAAAGCCCGCCGCACCCCCCGCCCGCCCCCTCTCCTCTTCTCGAACGGCGAACACATCCACATCCGCGCTCTCGCGGTTCGGATTCCAGGGCGCGATCCCGCGGATGCGCGGTCGCACGGATGCGTTCCGCGCGGGGCGTCCGCAACGAAGCGCCCCGCACCTGCGGGGTTGCGGCCCAGGTGTCTGGCCCGCGAGGCCGCGGATACGGATGCGTTTCCCGACCATGACGTTCCGTTCCCTTTTCCACGGATCAGCCTCCACGCGCGCGGCCGCCCGCCAGATGCAGCGCACGACCACGGCGCCGTGAGCCGCGGCGGGCCGCGGCGCGGCTCGCGGCTCGCGGCGCTCCCGAGCCGCCCGCGAGCTGCGGCGCGCGCGGCGCGAGCCGCGCGCGGGGGCCGCCGCGCAACTCGCCGCCCGCCGTGCCACTCCCGCCGCGCCGTAGGCTGCTGGCGGGCAGGCCGGGGGACAAAACGGGCGGCCCGCGGGGCGTTGCGCGGCAGCCCGGGGGGCGGTGGCGCATGGCACACGGCGTCTCGGGGGGGCTTGTACACGCCGTCCCCGTTCAGGGGGCCTGGGTTTCATCCATGGCCTCCGCCTGGGGCATCGATCTTCGCACCCAGCATTTCTTGTTATATATATATAGTGTATATATATATATACATACAGTCAGAGCCCCGAATCATCAGGGGTAACTCGGGTCAGGGCTAACTCGGGTTCGTTTTTCGGGAATCCAAACCCGAGTTACCCCGGACCCGAGTTACCCCGGATAACTCGGGCGTCCAGAGCCCCGAATCATCAGGGGTAACTCGGGTCAGGGCTAACTCGGGTTCCTTTATTCGGGAATCCAAACCCGAGTTACCCCGGACCCGAGTTACCCCGGATAATTCGGGCGCCCAATACAGGCGTACGAATAGATTACATATCCTGTCAACGATCACACACAATTGTATATACGAGTTGTATGTGCGTGCATGCTGCATGTCTGGACGCACGCATGCGCACACATACATATATATATATATATGTGTGTGTGTTTGTCTGTCTGTCTGTCTGTCTGTCTGTCTGTCTGTCTGTCTGTCTGTCTGTCTGTCTGTCTGTCTGTCTGTCTGTCTGTCTGTCTGTATGCATGCATGCATGCATGCATGCATGCATGCATGCATGTATGCATGTATGTATGTATGTGTGTGCATGCATGCATACATGCATGTATGTATGTATGTAGTGATACACGCATGTATGTGTATATGCATGAGTGTGTATCTGCTTGCTTGCCTGTAGTCATGTATATATGCGTATGTATGCATGTACGTATCATACATGTATGGATGTACGTAAATACTGATGCATGAGTGTTGGAATGTGTGAACGCATGCATTTGTGCGCGTGCACATGTATTTATGTGTATGTAAGTATGTAGGTATGTATGTCTGTCTGTCTGTATGCATTGATGTATGTCTATGCATGTTTGTATGGATGTATGTATGCATGCATGTGTTGATGAATGCATGCATGCATGCATGCATACATGCATGCATGTATGTGTTGGTGCATGTATGTATGTCTGTTATACGTGTGTGTCTTCCATATTGTCTGTAGACATGTGGGTATGTGTATGTAGGTATGCATGTCGTATGTATGTATGGATCGATGGATTATTGGATGGACGGATGGATGTATGTGTGTACGCATGTATGCATGTGCATGTACGTATTCATGTGTGCACGTGCATGTACTGTGCATGTGCATGTTTCTGTCAATATGCAGGTATGTAGTTAGTAACTCTGTGTGTATGTGTGTGCATGTATGTATTCATGCATGCATGAACGCATGATTGTATGTACGTTTGGATGTATGCATGCACGTGCGTGCGTGCGCGCGTGCGTGCTTGACTACGCATGCGTGCAAATGCATGCAAGCATGTACGTAGTTAGTTAGGTAGGTAGGTCTTGTTGGATTAGCGGGTTGCTGTATGTATGCATGTATATTCATATGTACGGATGAATGGTTGGAATTGCGTATACCAGTATACCATTGTCATCTGTATGTCAAGATTGTTCAGTAGATGTAGATGCGTGGTCTTATCCTTGTACATTATGTATACATATCTATTGAAAATATAGATGCATAAGATTGTGAACGCGTATGCATGTATGTATGTAGTTACGTTCGCATATTCCGTCACCATAGATCGTATGTGTGCATGCATGTATGTATGTGTATATACGTGTATATAAATACACACATCTGTCCAATGTTGTGTATACAACATACATAATAATAATAATAAAAACATTGTTATAGGCGTTACTGGTGGCACATAAGTGCCCATGCTCACATAAAAGACCGGCAGCACGCAAGCATTGCAGAACAGGAAGGAGGAAAGGCATGTCACGGTTAGATCCGAGGAGGAGGATGAGGAAGGAGATGGCGAAGCAGAGGAACAAGGAGAGAATTTGCAGAATGATGATCACCCTGGGGCTGTCGGGAAAGAGGTGCAGCAGTCAGATCACAGCCGAGCGCACGCGGTTGCCACACCTTGCGAGGTGTGCGGCGCAGGAGGGCGTTCTTTTGCGACTACAGTTGGAAAGAAGCGCCGAAGCCAATGCTTGGAGGATGTCTCGAGCGAAAGTGTCATTTTGAAGAATCTGAGGACAGTGTCGAACACGTCGGGTTTCAATTGGGGGAATCCCTCACGCTGAACGGCTCTGCTCCTACGAGCGACGTCCAGAAGTATTCTTACAACTCATGGTGCACAGTTTTACAAAAGGTGAAATAGTAGAGTGTAGCAATTCCTATGTGTCGTGGGACCCTACCGTCGAGATCTGTTGAGGATGTCCCGAGCGGGGCGGCCAGACAACCAAAACAACATGGATTCAGCCAATCGCCTCTGAGCCTCATTCTGCCGGAGAGGCGCACATGATGATATGAACATATACATAGCTAGGGACGCATCTATTCCCTTTCGGTGAGATCATATCGGCTCCGCCCCTGGACGGGTGCGCGGGTCGTGGCAGATGGCCGATCTTAAGGGAGCAATCCGTGTCCTTGGACGAAGATGGGGCCCGGGAGGCCCCAGGCGCCGGAGACATCTCCAGAGCGCCTGGCATCGCTCGGACGTGTGCACTTTTTTCTCGGCGAGAGCCATCGAGGAGCATCCTTGACCCTTTGGCGAAAGAGCCACGCACGAAACCGAAACAAAAACACGGGGAATGGACGTCCGAGCGATGGCGAGAGCGGCCCAGGGCCCAAATCTCCGAGCCACCAGCTGGCCCGGTCGCTGGGGGTCCCGCTGGGAGCAGGGAGCGCACCACCGCCAAAAACTCGGGGGCATTCCGGGTGAGCTCTGCCGTGCGGGAGGCGGGTGTGCACGGTGTCCCGCGAGGGCGCCCGTGAACGAGGCACGCCACCACCACCCCTGGCCACCCCCTGCCTCCATCCTCCAGGTGGTGGTGGTGGTGGTGGTGGTGGTGGTGGTGGTGGTGGTGGTGGTGGTGGTGGTGGTGGTGGTGCGTCACCTGGGGTTTCCAGCGTCGGGGTCGACGCATCGTCGAGGGCCTCTCCTCGGAGTCGGCGGGGGGGGTCTCGGCGGCTCAGGGGCGGGGTCCTGCGGGACGGGGTCCCGAGGACGAGGTGCCTCGGACGAGGTGAACTCACCCTTGGACCCCTTCCTGCCGTCGGGGCCCTGAAGAAGGAACCCTTTTCGTTGGGGAGGGGCTCCGCGTTCCTTAAGTGTTTCACAGCTTGTCTCAGGTTTTCCTTGGGTTTTCGATGGGCAATCGAAGTGTAACTTATGGAAAAAAGGGGCCTCGTTCCTTATTTAGGGTTCCTTAGGTCAACGCCCCGACTGTATCCTTATGGCCCCATCTCTCGGGGCCCCATCTGTGAAGCACCGAGGGTCGGGCACCGCGGGCCCTCCAGAGCGGGGGACCCTGGAGGGGAGCTGGACCTGGGGGGGTGTCGGCGGCTGGAGGCGTGGGCCTCTCTCGGGACGCTTGGGGTTCTCGGTGGAGCGGCTCTCCGGCTCGGTGGGAGGACTAGGAGGAGGAGGAGGAGGAGGAGGAGGAGGCGGAGGGGGAGGAGGGGGAGGAGGAGGAGGAGGAGGAGGAGGAGGAGGAGGAGGAGGAGGCGGAGGAGGAGGAGGAGCAGCAAGACCAGGGTAAACCCAAGAGTCACCAACGATGTTGGAACTGACCATCCCTCCAAGCTCCCTGTTCATAGGCCCCTGCAACGGTTCATTTCCATTAAGAATACTGCCTCGTTGGAAGACAACCGTTTGAAGATTCTGAAGCGTGCCAAAACAATGTTCTCGGGATATCAACACCGCGTGTCAACCTGACTGCTGCGTCTTGACGATCCGGAATCGTGCCAGAACGCCATGTGTGGGGTTCAATTCCGCAAATCAACATAATTGTGGCGCCCGCACAATCCTGAATCCTTCCAAGAAGCCATGTCTGGTACGCCGATCATGGGAATCCGTGAAGCTCTTGCGAACGTTTAAACGAATGTGCGCGGCGCTAAGGCGAGAGCCACATTTTGAAAAGGAGCCGCCCTCAATCCGTGAAGCTCTTGCAAATTTCTGAAACGAATGTGCGCGGCAGTCAGGCGAGAGCCACATTTTGAAAACTACCCGCCTTCAATGTTTGAACATCTTTTAATGTTTGGAACGAATGTGCGCGGCGCTACGGCGAGAGCCACATTTTGAAAACGACCCGCCCTCAATTCGTAAAACTCTTGTTGCACAGTTTAGAATGGATGTGCGCGGCGCCAAGGCGAGAGCCACAATTTGAAAACCTCCCGCCCTCAATCCATGAAGCTCTTGTTGTAAAGTTTAGAACGAACGTGCGCGGCGCCAAGGCGAGAGCCACATTCTGAAAACGACCTGGCCTCAATCCGTGAAGCTCTTGCAAATACTTAACACGAATGTGCGCGGCGCTGAGACGAGAGCCACATTTTGAAAACCATCCGCCCTCAATCCGTGAAGCTCTTGCACATGCTTAACATGAATGTGCGTGGCGCTGAGACGATGGCCACATTTTGGAAACCATCCGCCCTCAATCCGTGAAGCTCTTGTTGCAAATGTTAAAACGAATGTGCGCGGCGCTGAGGCGAGAGCCACATTTTGAAAACGACCCGCCCTCAATCCGTGAAGCTCTTGCATATGCTTAAAACGAATGTGTGCGGGGCTAAGGCGAGAGCCGCAATTTGAAAACCACCCGCCTCAATATGTGAAACTGTTGTCATGTTCCAAGCATCGGAGTCATAAGAGGTGGGGAAGTCTCAGGCGAGACGCCTGGCCCGCCCTAA